ATCGAGATAACCCGAAAACCAGTATAGCGCCAATATATTAACATGTGCTTGAAATTTATTTATGTACACGATGTGTGTTTATTAATGAGAATGTACATGCACATGTTTTTTGTGTGTGTTTTTTTACACAACAGCGTCACTGCGATTTGTTTGATGAAGCGATCAACATGCTTTAAAAATGTACCGGTTCATACATGTTTGCTAACAACACAAGGCATTTGTGGGGGTACCACTTTCCCGGATTATCCCGGAGTTCCGGATTCGTGAGGCTAAATATTTTGTCCTCCCCCACCTTGCATTGAAAGATGATAAGTAAGAAAATGTGAACATCACATCTTTAAGCCCTATAAAAATATATCCGAGGCCCACTGCAGTCGTGTGGGGGGGGGGGTAGCTGAGCCTACACGATGTTTCTAAGGTTAAGTGACATCTTCATTTTTAAAACTAGCATCTCTTCCGTTGCTCTCCAAGTGTAGGATGTTGCATAACTAAATGAAAGTATTTGCTCAAATGTATTCGTTTATTTTGAATGTGTCAAATATTTTCTGGGGACAATTAAGTTTTAATAGGCAATATTAAGCTAGGGAAATGCATTCCCTCAAGGACGCCACAACTGGAATGAAATTAGTTCATGTCCCGCTGTTGCGACGTTTAGGTTGTCTTTGTTCATAATCAAGGGTTTCTTTCAGCTATATCTCGGGGGGGGGGGGGGCCCCCCCCCCCCGGGGAACCCCAATGGCCCCCCCCCCACAAGAGCAAAAATAAATCCAACAATAAATCAACCGGCCCTGCCCCCCCCCCCCCCCGAAAAATCTGAAGTGCCCCCCTCCCGGGGGAAAATTTCTGAAATAATCACTGATCATAATTATGGCTATCCCACGCGAAATTTTGAAATATCACCTCAAAATTGTCTGAAAGAAACACAAAATTCAAGTATGCGTCAAAATGCATTCTTGCATTTTGAATTTGTGCGACTGTCTTCAGCATCCCCAATGTCTACACCCTTTCCCCCACGCTGACCAATGTAACAGTATAGGGTTGAATATAATCTTGTGCCAAATGATTACCCCAGGGCACGCCCCAACTGGAGTGAATTCAGTATGACACTGGCACCATAATGCCTCCACAGACCCTTAAAATTTTCTTTCCCAAATAAGTTTAATAGAAACATTGAATTCAACAACACTCCAAACTGCACCTCTTGATTTTGAAAGAATAAAAAAAATACGGGGGTGGGGGAGAAGGCTCCCCAGACTCCACCACCGCTCGTTCATCTTACTTACTTATGCCTTTTACCCAGCCTGGCGCACAGGGCGTCTAAAAGAATTTTCAATTCATCTCAGCCCTGTGCTATCCTTTCTAGTTACTTCAATTCATCTCAGCCCTGTGCTATCCTTTCTAGTTACTTCCATTCATCTCAGCCCTGTGCTATCCTTTCTAGTTACTTCCATTCATCTCAGCCCTGTGCTATCCTTTCTAGTTACTTCCATTCATCTCAGCCCTGTGCTATCCTTTCTAGTTACTTCCATTCATCTCAGCCCTGTGCTATCCTTTCTAGTTACTTCCATTCATCTCAGCCCTGTGCTATCCTTTCTAGTTACTTCCATTCATCTCAGCCCTGTGCTATCCTTTCTAGTTACTTCCATTCATCTCAGCCCTGTGCTATCCTTTCTAGTTACTTCCATTCATCTCAGCCCTGTGCTATCCTTTCTAGTTACTTCCATTCATCTCAGCCCTGTGCTATCCTTTCTAGTTACTTCCATTCATCTCAGCCATGTGCTATCCTTTCTAGTTACTTCCATTCATCTCAGCCCTGTGCTATCCTTTCTAGTTACTTCCATTCATCTCAGCCCTGTGCTATCCTTTCTAGTTACTTCTATTCATCTCAGCCCTGTGCTATCCTTTCTAGTTACTTCAATTCATCTCAGCCCTGTGCTATCCTTTCTAGTTACTTCTATTCATCTCAGCCCTGTGCTATCCTTTCTAGTTACTTCCATTCATCTCAGCCCTGTGCTATCCTTTCTAGTTACTTCCATTCATCTCAGCCCTGTGCTATCCTTTCTAGTTACTTCAATTCATCTCAGCCCTGTGCTATCCTTTCTAGTTACTTC